AAGACAGCAGATAGCGACAATGGATGTGGCTGTAACTGCATAGTTATGGTGGTAGTAGAACAATGAAACTAGTGGGAAAAGCAGGGGCAGTTGCCATACGGGGCGAGTATCTAGAAATTATCAGGTAAATGCTAGATTCTAATAACCACAGGTGCTGTTAAATGGGTCAGATACATTGGAGGGTCTAATGGGCAAAGTGGCAGAACTGTTAGGTCTTTAAACTCTCAGCTTAGAAATGGCCAACTCTAGTTCTGGCAATGTGTTGCAGCTTAGGTGGCCTCTTCCACTCATTTCTACCATTTCTCAGTCCATTTAAATGTCCATAATGCTCGTGCTTGCCCAAATTTAGAAAATTAGGTTAACTAGCCTTATCAACGGCGTTTCAGACATTCAGCTGTCGCTTCCCTGCAAATTTCAAATTCCAAACGGCAAAAGGCAAAAGGCAAATGGAAACTCCTCCGTTGGCTTTCCAACTGCCAGCTGTAGGGCAAAACGAGTTGAAATGGAAAATGCATGAAGGCACAAATTGATAATTGAATTTGGCACAGGCTCAAACTGCAACTGCCAGTTATTCTGATGTTGTTTTGCAGCTAATATTGCACAGCATGCGCCAAGTGGGTCAATGTGAGCCGGGGTGACAAGCAAAATGAAATATATTTATGCACATATAGTACAGGCATGTAGAAAAAAGTAAAAATCGCACACGCGTCACATGGCGACATCGAATTGAAGCCAATTAGGAGGAAAATGGAAAGCATTTGTCAGGCAGCTGGATACAAAGTGTGGCTGTCAGTGTGGCTGTACAAAAGAATGAAGCCAAGGCAAGATGGGAAATCCGAGCAAATCTATGAGCATTCTTACCGTATTATTAGCTGTTATTTGGCCATTACAGGCCCTAAAATATGTCAAGCTGTCTGCGCGGGCGATAAAACTTCGGCGAAACTCAGTGATGGGCCACAAATTAACGAAAAGACAGCGTCGCCATCAAAGATATTCGATTTCCAGCACCCGACACTCATAAATTTCACAAGAGCTGGCGCCCAGGATATTGAAATACATGACCCGGGGTCGGGCACGAAAGCCACAAATATTCGTGGATTCCCACTACTACCACCGAATCTAAAGTATTGCATGTTCGCACCCATTTCCAACATCTCCCAGTCGCCTGGGCTTTCGGTTAATTTAACGGCAATAAAAACATCACGCATACGCCCCGCGGTGCCAGCAGATCCAATGAAACCACTGCCTTGAAATTGTCATCGATGAGGAGGAGAGATGGATAAATATGGTCGGTTGGCACAAGTACCATCCAATGAACAAGATAGTAGATATCAGAACAAGCCAGTAATTGTTTAACTTAGTTTTTTGTGCTAAGTATTAAGTAACTTTGAATTAAACAGCCTAATTGATAAGTCTTCAACAATCAAAATGAACTCAATATGGTATTACCTCTTTTTTACCACCAGCTGTGGAATTGGAAAAGGCATGGAAGCAGTTTGGTCGAGGGGGTGGGGAGGGGGGCGTTATGCATACATATGCATATGTGGGCGAGCTTCGTGTTGAACCGTTAGCTTTGAGACGCCCACGCCGTCACGAGCTCTCCCCATCCCGCTCTAACTGACACCACAGCAGCTGCAGATTAAAACGAAAACGGAACATATTTCCCATTCCCGAAATGCTTATGTCAAAGCAGAGGCGGAGGTGAAAATGGAGCTGAGGAGTGGGAGGGGCACGCGGTGGAAAATCTGTGCATTTCAGGCGAACTGCGATAAGCTCAAATATGTGTATCTCCAAGCGAATTGGAAACTATCCGCCTTTCTATTAATGCCACTAATTTGAAACTTTGTTTTAAATTTATTGAACTCTAATTTATCAGAAGTGGAATTCAGAGGGCAGGAGTAGTTCGATAATGTGGTAATTTAGGGTGAAATTTCAATGATTGAATTCAGAAATTTTCTTTCTATTAATATTTTCTTATTGTAACTTCAAAGAGCAAAGTTCTTAATTTTGTATCTTGGTAGTTCTGCCTCACAGTTTTTATGATGAATATTGGATTTAAGTACCATTTAAGTATTGAATTGGCCCACTGTACATTGAAATATTCGTTGGCCTGGCTATCTGCATGATCTGGGCATTATAATGAGCCAGGCAAATGCGCAGGCGTATTTTGAGCGCTGACAAGATTGCTTACAAAACACACAAAGTGAAAAACACATTTGGCAAGAAGCTAGAAGGAAATGCGATCCCCGAAATACAAAGCGGAAAAAACAAAGCAATATTTTTATGTGTCGCGTGGACGCGACAAGCTGCTGTCGCTGCTTTTTTTTATTATTGTCCGCCAGATATATGGAAATGAAATGTTTTACGACCGGACTGCACTTTTTTCGACTGTCGCCATAGATATGAACACACACAGAGAAACGGAGCGGGAATTGAAATTAATTTGCTGCCCAAAGGCGGTGGGTGGAAATGTGGGCGGGTTGGAATAGATTGTGCATTGCATAATTACCAATGGCACGGAACACACGCAATCTTTCTTCTTCAATTCTATGTAATCTTTTCTACCAGGGACATACTCGTTTGCACACAGGATTTTGTCCAATTAAGGCAGTGTGTCTATAGAGTAGATTTGTGTGTTTTATGCTTTCATGCTTTGTCATTGAAATGCTCTCTGATGTCTGGCTGTAGCCAGATCTGGAAAAACTGGATGCTACGTTTCGATTGGGGCCTCTTTTTGGGCATGCCACTCGTGTATATACTCCAGTGCATATGGGCAAGGTCATCGGCTCTGGATGGGTGGTTTGAACCAATGCCTTTTTGGGCTGGGTGTGTGCACCCATTGGAGCATTTCGATTAGAGCTGCGCACTGCCTTTTTTGCTGCTAAGCAAAACTAGTTCGGCCTAATGATTGTTTTGGATAACCGAAAAGGGGAGCAGAGAAAGTTTAATTTGTTGGCCTAAGCCGATGAACTTAATTCAATACTAATCAGTGAAGTAGTAGTGAACGCAATAATAACGAATAACCAGAATAACAACAGAATTCTAGGGAAAATAACGTGTATCTTCGGAAATGACAGCTTCGAATGTGTATGTCTCTTTCACAGAATCATCCTTCAATTCCCCATCAACTAGCTTTTCTGCTGGGGATTTGCGGGATATGGGGGCTTTGCGGAATTTGGGGGATTTGCTGAATGCTGAATGCTAAAATGTCACGGCTGCCACTCGACACAGTGAATGATACTTGATGGCCTGAGCCATTGACTTGCCACTTTGAATAGCACTCGAAACTGACTAATGCCTCCTTTCAATTTCCCCTTGCAGCCTGTGCGTTTCGTTCGTTCCACGCTTGTGACCCGTAGCCCACGTCCACTTTTGTGGCGTGTGCAATCCAAAAGCCGCCAAGACGACTTACTCGATAATGAAGATGAGCTCGCCCAGGATCATGCAGCAGAAACGGAGCAGCAAGTCCTCCAATTCGTCGCGGGTCTCCATGACCACATCGACGGCGGAGGAGAATCTCATAGAATCGAAGCTCTTCAGCTGGATGCGTTTATTCCGGTTCGCCTCGCTGCTCTGCCGCGCCGAGTAACGGAGCTAGTCCCTCAAATCGAGATTCCCCCGAGATCCTTTCCTCATCCCCAAGTGAAAAAAAAACAACAACAACAAATTTTAAGATATGTAAATGCATATGTCAGATACTCGAACTAGTTGCCGCTTTTCAGTCAAGTTTTCCTATATATAATGAAACACCAACAGAAACACCAACACTATGGTCACCTTAACTTTTCCAGCAATGTAGAGAATAAGTATTACAGAATGAGTAAACAGAAATACCATGTTAAGTTTAAACTGAAAAGCTAGGTATATCAACCCCTGGGAATCCAATGTTTAATTTACGCTCCTTTTTGGGAAATCAAAAACGATTTCGTTCAGTTAGCTCTTCACAATTAAGTCAATTTTTAGTGTAAATTCCGTGACAGCGGAATTTCTCGCGCCTTTCGTACCTTTTGTATTGTAATAAGTCGAAAAGAAGATGATAAGACACCTACAAATTGAAAACTACAAGCAAATAAATATTAAATCATAATCCACTTATTGCGTTTATTCGGGTTTATTAGTATTTAAGTTTCGAGAACAGCCGACAACAACACGAGGTATATATATTTTTGTAATTACAACACTGTTTTGCGTGTCACAAAAGAAAATACATAAAATGAAACATCAAGAGAAACGTTTATGCAAGGCTATTAAATAGATAAATACATATATTAACTAAAGAAGCGAACAAAAATGCAGTACTAACAATTACAATACAATGTATACATGTAGAGGAATATATTTACACATCAAACTCGAATCGGAGTCTATGCAAATGCGCTTATCCAATAAATACATATTAACACTAATTCACAATAGTTATCCAAGCCCAGCAATATGAGAAGTGCATTTAACCCAAAGAAGTTGCCAAACGACAGCAATTGTTTTTAATACATTAGCAATGACAAAATCACAATAGTGAAAACGGTATCTTTATTTCTGTACAACCTCAGAACGTACTATAAATCAATGAAATAACTACGACAACAAGGAACCGAAATAGTTATCAGAGATTTTCGAAATTCAATTTTAATTATTAATTAGTTAGTAAGCCGGAATGCAACCCTGCAACTTGAACATAACGGTAATAACGGTAGTAACGGTAAATGCCAATACAAAACTGTACTAGAACATAGCAATATCACTGCAGCAGATATTTGTTGAGAAAAATGCAATAAATCGATATCGGTCAATAAATAAAGTCTTTAAGCTGTTGAGTGTTCAATGTAATAAAAGCATTTATTTGCTTCTAATTTGGTTGGGGAATGGTTGAGAAAGTAGAAATCTCTATGATCTCTATGATCATAGAGATTTCTACTTTCTCAAATAAAATACGTTTTTAGATGACGTGCGCGGCTTCAATTTCAAATAATACCCCTTATCGATATGTATTCGATAACAGCACATATGTTTTCGCGCTTAACAGCTCATTTTTGGCACAGGGTGTTTGGATCTCTTTGCAATGGGTATTAAATGTAAATACAAAGCAAGTAAACAATTTGTGAATGTGCGAAAATGTCTTGAAATTGCAAATGTTGTGAATCTTGAAAATGCGATTACTCGCATTGCGCGATATTTCAGTCCCGGCTACAGTCGGGGCTCCTGAAAAAGTGCCATACTACCTTTGCGGGCAAACACACCCTCAACCCCTATGAAATTATAATTAGATATACAGAACATAGGAGCAGGTATTATTATTATAATAATATATTGCCAGCAACTAATAACAAATTACGTTTTGGTTTCAGCACTATGGAGGAAATATGTCGGGTTTGTCTGGGGAACCACGATAACATGGTCAATATATTCGAAGGAAACCCGATTCTGGGACCTTCAATTCCCGATATGATTGCCCAGTGGTCTGGTTATCAAGTCACGAAAGGTGATACCCTTCCCGAACTCATTTGCCTAAGCTGCCTGGAAGACGCAGAAAATGCATTCGACATTCAGCGGACTGCCAAAATGGGCCATCAGTTCCTATGTCAAGTGAAGAAAGTGGAAAAAACAGGGGAGGACACCTGCCAAGTTTCGGGATGCGAAAGCGAGGAATCTAGCTCTTTACACATGATCATCGAAGAACCACCAATAAATGAAGAAAGAACCAGGCAGGAATTACATGATGAACAGAGCAACGGACCGGTACACTTTTACTTATTCGAGGATGAGATTTCAGTCAGCGAAACGGATCAATCCAACTGCCTTAATAGAGAAGGGGCTGCGAAGCAGATCACCAGAAGTGGCGATGACAACATGAACTCCAGTAATAATCAACATAAGTGTCCTAACTGCCCGAAAACATTTCAACGTAAATGGAATCTAAAATTGCACATTCGTACTCACAGTGGTGAGCGACCCTACAAGTGTACCCAATGTCCGAAATCATTTTCGCGGACTTGCGGTCTTCGGAACCACATGAGCACGCACACTACTGACCGCGCCTACAAATGTGACTACTGTCCAATGTCCTTTCGATTCCAAAACAGTTATTCCCGACACATGCGGACTCAACACACGGAGTTCTTTGAGAAACGTGTTAGACCAGCGAAGCAGTCGCTGGTCTGCTCCTACTGTTCAAAGGTCTGTTCCAGACCTTCAACTCTAGACATTCACATCCGCATTCACACAAGAGAAAGACCATTCCAATGTCCGCATTGCCCAAGTGCCTATTCTTCCAACTCCACTTTAAGGGTTCACCTAAGGATACACACCGGGGAACGGCCGTACATGTGTTCCCACTGTTCTGTGGATTTTCGAACCCGTACGGAACTCAGAAGACATATCCGGCGCCACTCGGTGAAAACGAGTTTTCAGCATCCCCACGCCGAATCATCCCTGGCGACTACTTGCTACACATCCGGATGACAGATTAAGACCCACCATTCTAATCATTCCCATACCTATTCACTCCGAACTATGCCATAGCTGAAGATGATAAACACAAATTAAATTCGAATTCAAAAATGTGTACAATTAACTAAAATGTACCAAAACTAAATCAAAAACTATGCAAATGAAGCTAGCAAGTATTTTTAAAACTGTTTTATACTACGTAAGAGTACTAAGTATTTTTATACATCTGTTTTATAATATCTGAGGATTAGTATTTCACGACGAATAGAAATTTTTATTTTTTTAAATTAATAAATTTAATTACAAATTTATGAGAATGGTTTTGAATGAAACCAAAAAAACTAAACGACATAATCATATGTTTTCAAAATTAATTAGTATTCGGTGTTCCTAACAGCACTATATACTTATCACAGGGGGATTCATGTAATACTCTTAACAGCACAATTAATTAAAACAGGGTGATTCGAGTGGCCAAGAAATAGATAACACGAATGTAAACAATCAAACAATATTATTTTGGTAATGGAATCTAGACACAATAAGAAATGTAAGTGGGTTTCTTTGATTATTATAAGGTACTTACCGAAACTCTCTTCAAGGACCATGGAGTATATATGCCGAGTTTGCATGGGCAGCCACGATGACATGGTCAACATATTCGAAGGCACACCGGGAGTGGGACCTTCAATCCCGGACATGATTGCCCAGTGGTCCGGCTATCAAGTTGAGAAAGGCGACTCTCTGCCGGAACACATTTGCCCAAGCTGCCTGGAGGATGCGCACAATGCATTTGATATTCGGCAGACTTCCAGGATAGGGCACCAATGCCAAGTAAAAGTGGAAGCCGCCGAGGAAAATTCACAGCATAACGTGTTTTGCCAGGTTTCCAACTCCGCGAGTGATAAATCAAATTCTAGTCAAAAGTTAGATTGCCCAGAAAGTCTAAACGAAAAAGATTCCAATTCAATTGCGGAAAGGCCTGGACAGCAATCGCATCAGCCGCAAAAGTTCGGTGAAACTGATGGTCAAGACGATGAAAATAGCGAAATATCTGTCGGCGAATATTTCCCATCCGATTCGAATATTAGGGAGGCTAATGCTAGTGCATCTGATCAATCTAACAAAATTCAAGAGGACAACTTCGGAGATGATGTAACACCAGTAGACGAACTCGATCAAACCGTTGACGAACTCAAATATGTTGTACCAAAGTCTTTTATATTGCATGATGACAGCCCAGAACGACCCCACTATTGTTCGCGGTGCGGAAAATCCTTTGCGCGCTCCTGTAGTTTTAAGAACCACCTCAGGACTCACGCGCAAGATGACAATGGCTCTCAATCGGAGCATAAACAAGATATTGCAACATTTCAGGAGACCAGAAAACTGCAAGATCAGAAATGTGCATCTTCAAAGCATCTGCAATCGAGTGGGCGTAAATTTACGTGCACATATTGTCCTAAAACTTGTTCGCACCAAAGTGATCTTAAAAAACACATGCGTGTCCACACGGAGGAACGTCCGTATAGCTGTAATCAGTGTCCCAAGGCATTTAAGCAAAGCGACAATCCAAAGCGGCACATGGAGACTCACGCCACGATAAGAAAATTCAACTGTAATCTATGTGATAGTACTTTCTTTAGTCAATCTACCTTTCTGTTGCACATGCAGGAGCATGAGGGAATAATGCCGTTTAAATGTCACATATGTACAAGAGCTTTTAAGAATTGTAGTTCACTAAAGGTACACACCCGATCTCACACCGGCGAACGACCGTATTCATGTAGCCAATGTTCCAAAGCTTATAAGCATTCAATCGATCTTAAACGACACATATGGACACACGACCAGGAAGAAGGAAGAGTCAGGGATTTTAGAAAATTTGCATGTACGCTTTGCAATAAGAGATTTGGGACTAAATATTCTTTAGAGGTGCATGGCAGAACACACAGTGGCGAGGAGCCTTATAGGTGTGATGTCTGCGAAAAGTCCTTCAAGTATGCTTCATCACTGAAGGTGCACACTAGAAGTCACACTGGCGAACGACCGTTTGTGTGCGACTACTGCTCAAAGGCTTTTGCTCAACAAATCGATTTGTGTCGACACATCCGAATTCACACGGGAGAAAGACCGCATAAGTGTAATCAGTGTGAGAGCACCTTTATAGACCACTCTGGCCTCAAAGCACACCTTCTCGTTCACACGGAGGAAAGGCCCTATAGGTGCTCCCAATGCCAAAAGGCATTTAAATTGTTGTCAATTCTTAGCCGGCACATGAGGACTCATACGGGCGAGAAACGCTTCAAGTGCGAACATTGCTCGAAGGCTTACGCAGATCGCAGATCTCTAAGGTTGCACCTCCCTATTCATTCGGGAAACTTTGCATAACTTTGCCTTACTCCTGTGAGCCGAGGTAATTTTAGGAAGCGTGTATTTTTAAATACTTTTATGCTGTACAAATAAATGTTATTAAAAGTTACGTGATTATAATTTTACAGGTGATATTTTGTGTCTTTGTTTTGTCTTAAATAAAATATAAAAAAATTCAAAAAATTTAATGGTATTTTAATTTCTTACAAGCTCTATTATATTTTGTAAACTTCTGATAATAGGATTTTAAATATTTTGCAAGTGGTTGCTATAAATTTCGATTAGAGCATAATCGATAACTGTCCGATTGCACATATCACATATCATATCAAGCACAGGGTGGTTAATGTACTTAAAACCTAGATTGCTCAGATGTAAACAATCATCGGTGTATCCGTATATTTTTAGTTTTTATATTAATAAACAATTTTATTTAACGTTTACACTAAACGTAAGCATTATTAATCTGTTCATCGTTGGTTCAATTGTACATGTTCTATTGTATTTATAGAAATGGAAAAGATATGTCGAGTTTGCCTGGCGAACCACGACGAACTGGTCAATATATTCAATGGAAAGACAAAACTCGGATTCTCGATTCCGGATATGATTGCCCAGTGGTCCGGCTATGGAGTTTCAAAAGGCGACTCCCTTCCCGAACACATTTGTCCAAGTTGCCTGGAAGATGCGCAACATGCATGCAAGATTCAAAAGTCGTTAAAAACCCCAAAGGTCGAACCTGCGGATTTGGTTGAAACTAATCAATCCAATGAACACGTTCAAGAGTACGAAATATGTGTTGGCGACCTATATCAATCGGATTACCATACTCTGCGAACTAAGGATGCTTCTGCGGATCATAAGGCTTCGGATGCCCTAGTGCTTCCGCACGATACATGGAAATTCAATGGTCATGACCGTACCCATCGTCTCGCCAGCGAAACAGCTAGCAAGGACGCAAAAACTGTGATATCCACACCGGTTGACAAGCAAAACAACTGGCTGGACACTCGAGAAAAACGATTTAAATGTTATTTCTGCCCAAAGGCCTTTAAGCTCAAATATCACCTTACAAAGCACATCCGGACTCATACGGGAGAGCGACCCTTTCAGTGTGCACACTGCCACTGGTCCTTCAAACAAAAGTACCATCTTAAACGACACATGCTCGTCCACACAGCGGTTTGACCATACAAATGCTCAAAATGCGAAAGGGCCTTTAAGATTCACTATTCGGAAAGTCTGGAAAATTGAAATCAAACACAACGCATTGTAATTTAATATAAAGCTAAGGCTTAGAAAATCACCTAAGTAATAAAATAACGTTTTTACTCAAAATCGCATTAGATTTATTGTTTGATAACATTTAAACTAACTAGTTTTCAATACTCGACTTTTGCTTTAAAATTCAACAAAATTAAAATCGTAAGAGAGCCCACTTAACAATACAAAACGTGCTCGTAAACAATGCAATGAATTACAAATAAGTTAGCACACTTGAGAAGTTTAGATAGATGATTATGATCGAAGGTGATGCATGAGTTGCTCTTATAAGCTAGAGAAATGTGAATACAAACAAAAATAAGATGTTTTTTAGGTCGAATGAAACTATAAGCTAAGGCACCGAATTGGTAGCAATCGCTATTGGCCACGTGGTGGGTCCTTTCAGCACGATATCCTCCAGTGCGTTTTTGATCTTGATAAAGCGTCGTTTAAACTCCAAGCCGCAACCCTTTGACAGCCGGCAGTCCACAAGAATCTTGCCATCCATCTCTATAATGTGCGCCTTGAAAACCAAGCGCAGCTTATTCCGATCGACAGTCGAAACGGTGACCACTCCGTCGTCCCCGACTTTGCACGTATAGCCACCCAGTCTTTCGATGGTGCCCACCAATCGCTTGATAGTGTCATCCCATCTCGTGGTCACAAAGAATCGGGTCATTCTCCTCACCAAACGCTGGAAATAGTTCTGGGAGGCGTTCTGCGTTTGATTCATCTGGGTGGCCAGTAGGAGATCATCCAGCAGAGCTGGTTGCGAGAAGGAGTAACTGAGCCGCGCCTCCTGGGCCAACGCCTGGCGATTGCCTCCATCCTCCTTGGAGCCACCACTGCCCAGTCTTACATTGAAGTCATCGTCGCTGCGCATCGTTGGCATGGGCTGAGAGCAGTAGTTCCGGGAGATGGAGTCATCCAGGACATTGCTCAAGTGGGCACTCGACTGCAGACGCTGCCTCTTAGCCTTTGGCGAGCATATCTCCAGGGCAGCCGCCGAGTCCACCAGGTCATAGGAACGTTCTACAAAAGAGGAAAATTGTTTAGACATTACAACTTCGATAATCAAAAGCTCTTAAGCAACAATAAGATTAAGAACAAGTAACGTTAGAAAAATGTAACAAAACGAAAAAAAATCAACTCAAGCATAATGCAAAAACCATTTGGTTTTTGGTAATAAAGCTCTATGGAACACATACACACCATACAGCTAAAATCACCAAAGAGCAAATAATATGCAAACAAAAGAGCAACTGATAAGTTAAACAAATAAAACAATTAGTGTAATTATTAATAACAATGAATAAGCAGGGCCTAGTTTCTTTCTGAAGATTGATCTGCAGAAGCCAATGCTTTGGTAATCTAGCTTTATGAAGTAGTTTAAATCTATCATACAGCTAAAGCGCCAAAGCAATGGCAAGGCAGCTGCACTCTAAGTCACTTATTCCAATGCAATTCACTTGTACTTATCACTTTATTTTGTTGATTGCGTCCCACTGGCAGCACAGGCACAGAGTGACCCCCAAAATGTCAAAAGCATTGAGAGTCACTAAGTACCTGAGCCACCGAGTGGACACTTAAACTATTCACTGACTTGTACACAGATTTAAGCGAACCGTGCAGTACAAAGTACTTACCATTGTCTGCAAACTGCATGTTGCACCATTTGTGATCCAGAGTTTTCTCCAGGGTCATACGCGTGCCAGGACTGGTGGCCAAAAGCTTGCGAAGCAGCGAAATTGCCAAGGTGTCCAGTTTGCTCCAAGGGGTCTGCAGTTGCCAGTGATCGTTATCCCTCCAGTTGGTGAACTCCTGGCAATTGGTGGAGGGCTGATCCCAGGGCAGCTCTGAAAAACAATATATGCCATATTAGTTGAATGGATTTGCAAGGACATACGAATTACACGGAAGGCACATGAACAAATTGACATTGGCAAGCAGGTGATATATTAGAAATCATTCCTGTATTTGTGGCTGTTTTTTGGTTGGTGCGTTGTTAAGCAATTTAAGCTGGAGCTTTGGTATAAAAGCTTTAGATGATATACAATGTGCGCGAAACAATCTACAGCTAGAATACCAAAGAAACAGCAAAAATGATAAAAGGTGCAATAGGAGAAATGTGAGCAAAGAACCGAAAAAAAGGGCGAGTACATAATGCATGAACTGATTGATTTCCGTAAATGCGAGGCTTTTCGGTGGCGATGCTGTGGAAATTATGCTTGCATTGTCTTTCACTGTTTTTTAGGGGAGTTCGTTTTAGGGGAGTGCACATGAATCACGGAAAAAAATAACGCAAAAATTTAAATAGCGGAAAGTGCATTAAGTGGAGCACATGTGCGGCACTCTCGCACCGAAATTACACTTACCACCCGCCAGCATGGTCACCAATATAACACCACACGACCAAAGATCCGCCGGCTGGGCGCGATATGCCTTCTGGAGCACCTCGGGAGCCACATACGGCAAGGTGCCGCAGCGTTTGTCCAGCAGTCGCTCCTTGCCCTTGCACCTGATCCATGGTAATGCCGTGATCACAGATCGCGGTCGTCGGGTATTGCGGGATAAACGGGGAAAGAGAGCATAAGGAATTGAGAATAAGTGTGGGCTTCAGTCAACGATAACACTGGGAGAAATATACACGACTTTAAAGCAGTACCTTGCTCTATAATAAAATCAGTTCCCTAACAAGTAGACAGGGTCACTAACAAGAAGTTATTATGTTTAAATTATGTTTACTGGAATCAGCTAAATATAAAAAATAAATCTGTTTCCCATCTTATAATCAATACAAACTGATGGCCTCCCAATCTTCCCGTGTAATTGATCCATGTTGAGTAAGAAAATATTGCTTCTTTCAAAGCTAAAGCTGAATAATCAGCGAAAGTAAGTATGCATTTCTATGTGGATTAAATTATTTAAATTAAGTTTGTCAGTAAACTTATAATTGCTGACTTGTTTTTCCGCCAACTATTTTTAACTCTCTTGAATTAGTTTTCGCTTAGTTGAAAACTAAAACCACCAGGGGCATGTTTTGTTTGGATGCTGTGCCCGCAGCGCTTTCAATTAACTATTCTCCTTGTCGGTCAGTTTAGTGCAGAAAAAGTTTTCACTACCGGTTAGCCATCGTTAATGGACTTTGTGCGTTCTCACGCAGAGCGGATTTCAAATATTTGTACGGCTTTTTAACTTCAAAATCAGATGCTATTTGATGGTATTTCTGATCACAACTGAAATATCCTGTGCGTTTCAATAGGAATTATTCTATAGTGTTGTACCTAATACCTAAACATTGTAGCCATGCCGAAGTCCGATATTTTCACGTTGTCGTGCTCATCGAGCAGCAGATTTTCCGGCTTCAGATCCCGATGAGCGATCCCACGCTGATGCAGATAGTTGAGTCCGGACAGGAGCTGTGTGAAATACCTCTGAGCCTCATGCTGCGGCATTCCCACATCGGGCTCTGCAAAGGAACAAACAAAGAGATAAAGGGTTTAAAGCTTGTATGCGGCATGCAATTGAGGGATGTCAGATCAAAGTGTAAAAACCATTTCGCACGAATCGAATTAAAATTTTCGACACTTTTTGCAATGCAATTTATACAGGCACGTTGCACAATTCTCGCCCTTTATGCATATAGTTGTTATTTATGTTTTCTGTATCGACATTTTCCAGCGGAACTTAACTTTTGGAATGTGGCAAAAATGTGCAGCCGACCAAAACCACCCAGTTCAGGTCACCTTGGTGGAAAGGTGTAAAGCAAATGCAATGCATTCTGATGTGCGTGTGTGTAAAGAGGATTTATGAGCTTAGCTACTTCCATGGAGCAGCAACAGTGCCAGGATGAGACAGCCGCAGTACAATCAACAGTTTTATGCAACTTTAATCAAGGCCCTAGTGCAAACAATGTCAAAATGTTTGTTTAGTTGTCAGGTTTACCTGTTGGATATGTAGATGTACATATAAAAGGCCACTCTGTCTTGAAGTCACTATGCATTGAACATACATTGAACCTATGCCAGTTGGAATATCTGCGACTTTCAGAGGAATTTAAGTAGCTCGGTAGAGATAGCATAGAGTATAGAGATAGTTTTGTCCTGTACTCGCAACTAATTCGAAAAGCTTCAACGTTTTCTAGCATGCCAGCCACTTTGACGTAAGAGTGCCACTCGGAAGTGCATCGAAATAGTCAGACGAAAGGACAAACAATGGAAGAGGAGGCTATCGCCTGGGGTTACCAATAGCTAGACAGATTGTATTTCCTATGCCTTTCACCTGATTGACTGTCAAAGGCAGCCGCATCCTGCAAGCGATATCGAGCATCAGCATCTCATTTCCCCCATCCATCCGCCTCTCATTGATTTTACCTTTAACCCTCTTGTTTGTGCTCTTGACTCTTTCACTTTGGTCGGGCAGTTCAAAGGTGAACAGGGAAAGCTATATTATGTTTATAAAATTTGCATCGAGATGATGGAATTTGCCATTTTGATTGAATAAATTTTATGTTTGTGGAGTGAAGGCGTTTTAAAAAAGGTGGGAGGGCTTTGATAACTTATACCCTTACATTTAGATGTCATAAAAATAACCAAAAAAATTTGACTTGGTTGCTCTTTGTGAAAATGTGTTCTATTTGAATTTGCTCAAAATCGTAGTACAATATCACAAAGCACTCAAAGGAACAGTCGGAAAACTAATTAAAAACAAAAAGCATTAACATTTTTTTAATTGGAAAAATGCATTTATAATTCCAAATAAACGCTTTAAATAATCGCGAAAGGGAGAAATACTAAAAAAGTAATTAGCTTTCGAACGAAAGAAGCGAGAAGCAAAAACTGAAGTAATTATTTTAAGCAGCTTTAGTTTCTATGTTGTTTTTCTCACACATTTATTCTTAATATTACCCTTTTTTCCCCGTCACTCTCACTTTGTAAAACCTTAAATGTTGATTGTGCAGAAGATGAAGTTGGGCTGGTGTGCCACGCCCACGTCTATAAGCCCAGCCCCAATCTGTGGGCCCCTCATTCCATGGAGCCCATTGTTTGCAATTCATTTATCATGTGGCA